AATAAATGTCTGTGGAAGAGTTAATTTGTTCAAAAGGGAAAATGGGAAATCCAGTCTGTGAAACTGCTGTAGTAACCCTTTCACATCAAAATCAAGTTTTTTTTTCTCCTTTAGTTAAGTCATTTAGATGTTTTAGTCAAAATGCGATCTAAAGCTCTGAATAAAAGCTAAATGGGAAACTAACACTATAACCGTCTTTATGTGGAGCATATCCTTTTATAATACAAAGTTAAAGAATACCAATAAGCCCTCTTCTTGAAGTTTGTCTCTCTACCCTCTGGATCTGCCTCAGAACAGAAGCATATTGCAAAACTGTGAATAAACAGGCACACAGAGGGCAGATGGACATTTCCATCTGCCTTGTTGCTCCCTGTATGACACTTTTCATACTTTATTCTCCAGTTTTCACATAGCTTTTGATGCAGGATGCTGCATCTGCTTAATGGTCTCAGTGTACACAGGCAATACACCTATATGATATGCCTATAAGTTTCCACAAACAAATATTTTTTTCAGTCCAGTTAATTCCATTCATAACTGGAAAAGGCAGTGTTAAAAAATGCTTAATGTGATCAAAAAATCAGCTAAAGATCTGATAACAGTTAAAGAAACAAAAAGACTGATAGGGATCTTTTCTGGATGATACATTCTTCATCACTGTATGAACCGGATTTTAATCTTTGTACCCTGACTGTATGAGTAATGTGCTGCGCTGTTGACACAAACGCTCCAAACAATATTTAAAATGTAAGAATTTTAAAGGAGCACGTGTAACCTGAGGGAGCAGCAGGTGATTAACTTTTTTACTGTGCCACCGGCTGCCTCTGAGAAAAACAACATTCACACAGTATGCTCTGCTGGCAGACTGTGACAGCCTGCGGGCTATTTGGAGGAGAGAGGGAGGAAAAACGTGCTTTTATTTTTCTGGTTTTTTTTAGCATGTCAAAATAAATAATGGTAAAACGTAACATTTTAAAACATACATTTATTACAGTGATGCAAGAATTGCTCCAGGTTTTGTAGAAAGGTATTTTTAAGTTCTTAAAAAGACAAAACCTTGATATATCATATCAAATCAAGCCCAATAAGCTAACCAAGGGGTGTGATAGTTTTTGAAAAGTTGTGTTTAAAGCACTTACAAAAACACGTACTTTCACTATGTTTCAGACTTTTGTTTTACTGTAAAGCACTTAGAAAAAGATGAGCGGGTTTGGCAAGTTCTCTCTACAATAGATAGTGATCAAATAGATAAGCTGGTGTTTTGTGGGAGAAACTGACTGCACTGTTGTTCCCTCCACTATCCCATCATGGTACCATATTTTCCAGTCACTGTAATTTGTTAGATATGAATTTTTCTCTGTAGTCTTCATGAAATTTTGAGAACTGCTCCCCTGCATGGGCCCTTGAGAAATCATTGATCCACTTTTGATAGGCCAAAAGAACTACTAACACCATGCTGATTACATCATTACCCTTAAGGTATTATTACTTAAATCATCTGGTCTGAAAATCTGCATGTAAGTTAAGTAAGTTTTAATGGGCTAATAATATTTTCATATGTAAATTATTGCATTTTAATCTGCACCTGTCTTTTAATTCAGTGGGATGTCCGCATACTGCAGATCTAAGAAAGAACGGCAGCTCAAGCCAAAGCATATTCCAAGCTTCAAACAATGTAGTTGACAGAAATAAACGGATGGCAGTTTTTGAATTTTCTGGCCAGCAAAACATCAAAAACATGATTGGTCAATTGGCACTTCATGTTGACTCCCTGTGCAGCTTTGATGGAGAATCCTGTGCTAAGTGGACGAAACCTGATTAAATGTTTTCCTTGAATCATGCATTTTTTTTTTTTGTCAAATTTTTGCGCAATGTTTCTGGCAAGTTCTCATTTATGGTCCCTCCAGACCTTTTCTATTATAATCAGTGCTGTCATTTAACCTTTACTGCCGGAATTAATTAATTCTTATATTTTATGTGTTAACTGATTTCGAGACAAACAACGACAATATATATGAATGTAGATATTATGTATGCATAATTAGGGAGACTACTTTTACTATTTTATGGTGTCAATTATTATCATCCATGATCCTTGGTACATGATGAAAATCCATCCACAGCCAATGATTGGGAAATATTCCATTTTGGCTGCCTTAAGGCAGTCAGTAATTTTCAACAACAGAGTATCCTGTTCTTTTATCTAATTAAGTTCCAAGTGATTCAGGTGAGCTAACACCCAAGATGGAAAGAAACTAAATAACAACCCGGACCCTTGCACTTGACCCTGACCTCCCTGAGCAGACAGAATTCTTCCAGTCAAGAGAATGACATACTGTGGGTGATAAAACCTCAAAGCAGTAGTGGTTGTTGTTTTGGAAGAAAAGAGCAGCCACCTGACCTGCAAAGGAAGGTATTTTCTTGTCAAGTTTTATTGTGGTAATTTGGAATAAGAAGCTGAGGTGTCAAGATGGTTTAAAAACCAAAATGAATTTTTTGTTTTCCTTCAAAACTAATGTTCAGCTATACTGTAGAAAAAAAAATATTGGCTTAGAAATCCCTCCTTAAAGAGGGAAAACATTTTGATAAAAGGTGAACCTTTTCAACTTAGGGGCTATTTAGAATAATTTCTATTTTGGTTTAGAAGTTTTATTTCCCTGTAAAAGTTATGTTTATTTGGATTTAGTGTCTTGAATTAATAAACCATTCAGAAATTGACATAAGAGCAGTTACTAATAATCCCAGTCCTTCTTTATGTGGCATGAGTCTTAATTAATCAATCTTAATCTTATCACTGTTTTTAATTGTGTGGTCATATAATCCAGTAATTCCCAACCGGGGGTACGTTTACCCCTAGTGCTTCCGCGAATGCATTGCAAGGGGTACATTAAAATATTTTATTTCTTACTGTAGGTAGTGAAATTAAATAGGGCTGGGATCTGTTCAGCTTAATGAGGTCCCAATTGAAAAAAGTAAATAACCTTTTATCAACCAAAAAATATGTTTTTCTTACCGGTTTATGTTTAAGTTTACCTCCAGCTTTGACACACATCAGAACCAAGCAGTAGAACAGACTGGATGTAGATCAGTCTGGTTTCAGCAGCTTTTCACACTGAGCTATTGGAGCTCACCAAAGAGAGCTCAGGTATCTTGATGAAAAGAAAGTAAAATTAAGTTAGTTTGACTATATTTTTTTTTCCCAACTCATCAAGTTTAAATGTGATTATAAGGGAGTTTCTTAGAGGAGCTACAGTAACAACTAATTATTGCTAATTAATTACCAGCTTCCAGGCAACATATTAATGTAGTTTTTTTTTTTTTTGAGATGGAAAGAATAAAATGCCTAATAATTAAATGCTCTAATAAAAAAATTTAGTAAAATAGTTTTTATTTCATAATCAATTTTTGTACATTCCATTTTTGGACAATCATGATTACTTTTGACTGAGAGGGGAACTCATGGTAAGACAAAATACTAAAAAAGGGTACACAAGTGAAAAAAGGTTGGGAAACACTGATATAATCCAAACAGAAATCCTTGAAGTGAAGTATTTGACACCCAGAATCATCAATCCATCCTACCCACTCAATCCTACTCAACCCTTAACTATTAAAACATTTTCTACAACTGATGTCATTGGTCATGTGACAGTAAGGAACATTAGAGGGTAATAACAAGCAGGATTTACCGTAGCTGTATTTTCCAGCAGCAGCGTTTTTTTCAGAATGACCTTGATAGCAAGTTTTCATGATTTGGCTAAACACCTTGATTACTGAATTAGGAAAATCTGTTATAACGAATATGAAATGAAAGGCAGAGATAAATAATTAGTACCCAAACCATCTTTTCTAATGTCCGCAAGCGGCTCTTCTAGATGTTGTTTTGCCCGTATTTCTTATGAATCAGGCACCCTCCCAATGCACCAGAAATGTGTTCATGTGAGTTTCCGGCTGGCAGAGATGGTGTGGGTGGGCAGCAGCGTCTGACTACAAATGAGAGTGAACACAATGCACAGTCTAATTCGTCACGGGCGTAATGAGCGCTTCCCTGCTACTCTCCCTTAACAGCATTCAGAGGCCTGAATGCTTGCATAACCACACAAATGTTAATGTGCATTTCTCCAGCAAACCAAAACTTTAAGAAGCAGGACACAAACAAAGCATGCCATTCCACATGAGATAAATTACTTTAGAGATTACACACAAAAACAGCATGAAACTGAATTATAGCATTTGATTTACAAGCAATAATCTAAAGTACATTCATCCTAAAAAAAACAATGCTCAGATCCATCGTCTCTATCAAAAGCCCACTGAGAGCAGCACAGAACATGTGGTAATTAGGTATTTGTTTTAAAAGAAGGTTGTACTAGCGCAATAATTGATGATCAGTGCCTTGACCCACAATAAACATCCACTTAGTTCAAGTAAAAACTACTTAACCTCCGAATAATGTATTCAAATATAGCATCCCAATCTCTAAAAATCGCTCCTTCGTTATATGTCCCTTTTCTGAATACTAAACACCTTTTTCTTTTATCATTTATATATAAAACACTGTTTTCTGTTTTAAACCAAATATTTATCATAAAATAATAAACGCTTAAAAAGAAATTTACGCTAGGATTATTTTGATTTTATATTTCTTTTCCTTCTTTATTTATGTTTTAGCTGCTATTGTGAAAGCAAAGATAAGTAGAAAATCAGAATGCAGACATGTTTACAATGATGCAACATACACAAAAGTGGGAAAAGTCTAAAACTCCTGCGATAATAGGAGAACACTCAGTAATTTTAATTAGGTGTATCTGACATCGCCTGACTGGTATGTTAATCCCATGAAAACAGCAAGGGCAGAATGAGTGTGCCTCTGTCAGTGTGTTTGCTTTTAACCTAATTTGAGTCTGATTCTTTTTTTTACACAGAGCTGAACAGATTTGTGCAAACATGTTTAATGCTTTTTCAAAAGAACAAAAAAACAAATCCAGCGAACAACTTACCCTGTGATGCGCTGCAGCGTGTCAGTAGAGAAGAAGGCAACAGGTGGCTTGTCTCTCTCTATGACCCAGACGGTGTACTGTCCACTTTGTCTGGGATGGAAAAACACAGCCATGTCCAGGCTGCATGGCCCTTCACCTCCCCACAGCCACGGGCTCAACACCCAGGGGCCTCCAAAGGCTGAACTATTAACCCAGAGAAACTGACCTGGAAGAAATTGAAAAACAAAGTGGTTCAGGATGAAAACTTTTTCAGAGAACAAAGTCTTACTGAGAAAATGGAATAAAGCGTCAAGAAGCAGATCTTCCTGATAAAGCTGCTCTGAATTTACATGGAGTATAGCACGAAATAGGTAAGGAACTCGCTTACAGTGGTACTTGAATAAAACTGTATCAAATAAAATCCCTTTGAAAATGAACAGCCAACATATCCAATGCTCTGACAAGAAGAAATAAAAAAACAGATATATTTCAGGTTAAAAGAAAAAAAAATTACAAACCAAATCTAGTTAGAATCACTCCGGGTAATGGAAATATGAAAAAGAAAAGCAAATTATTTAAGGAAAGCTTTCACGTCAGAAAGTTGATGAAATGTTAAAGCTATATTCAGCTCATTGATGACATAATAAACGGCAACACTAAAACATCTTAGTTGCTGTTGTGGTTAAGGAAATGTGCTGCTGCATTATGGGTAAATGTGGTGCAAGTTTGGCACAACTTTCCCCTCCAGCACTGTGATTAATCCAGTCATCTTTATATAGGACAGTCTTATCCTTACCAGACTGACCCAAACTCTGTATAGTCAGTCTGGTTGAAAATAATGCAGAGCAGATAAATGCTCTGCAGTTTTTCTCATGAGAGGAATTCTAAAACACACAAAACAGAAAACGAAAACCTATGTTGCATGAATCACTTTCTTTTTACCATGATGCTGTAGTTCATTCCTGTAAGTGTATGAAGGTCATGAGAGTCAATAAAAAACAGATTTATTCTCTTCAGCAGGGGGTTGATGTATTTCTTCTGTTTTTATGTCGTCTCCATTTCTTCACCAGGTGACTGTATTTTATACTCTGGATAATGGAAATGTGAGCTTTAATAGTATTAAATTATTAGAAACAGTATAGAAACAAACTTTGGCCTTTTGTGGGATAAGGTTTGCCTTTTGGTACTTGATTGAAAAAATAAAATTTCTGTAAATTAGTATTCAAGGGGTATACTTCTCTTTGGTATGGCTCACCTTATCCCAAAAGAACAAAAAAATTTGTTTTTATGGAGAGGCTGCTCATTAAGACTATCTTCCTTGAAACAGAAACTCCTCTGCATTAAAAGAAACATAAATAAGCTCTAAAATATCTGGTTGTTTTTTTAAAAATCTGTTACAGTCTACCTCTCTTTTTGACGACAATTGGGTTAAGATAGCAGTTACTGACTGTTGGGTCTTGTGGGATACCTCAAGGCTTTGCTTGGCACCACCTTTTTTCTCACGTTTTACTTCTTTTAGGATGCAGGAGTTATAGTGCCAAGACATGAAACTACCAAACTAAAGAAAAAAAAATCTTACTTTATTACAAGGTAAACATTTTAAAATTCAACTATGTTGCTGGTAAACTGACAAACATCTTTATCAGTCTGGCATTAAATTGAGGCGTTATGTAATAATTCAGAAAATTTCTCTGCAGCAAGATCTAATTGGAACACTGATTGTTTTATTTTCACATTGGGTGACAGTTTTTTCAGTGTTATCAAAAAATAGATCATGTTGCTCTTTTCCTTTTTACATTATTTACTTTAAGTGGGAACGATTATATGTTGGTTTGTTACTTTTATGCTGAGGGCCTTCATTTGTAGGCTACTGTTATGGGTACCTCTGAGACTCATAAACTGTTCAGCTTAAGAACAAAACAAGTCAAAGTAAAATTGTAGGTTTCATCAGTTCAATGCTAATTATTTTTTTGTCTCTTAACCATTAAGCTTTCTCCTTCTTTTTAACATAAGTATAGCACTAGTGCACCAGCCAAAGATATTCACCCAAATATGCTTTTTAAAAATAATGAATATATTGAATTAAAGGCATTAAAAATAGTTATGTTTTTGTGTTGTTGTTTGTTTTTATCACTTAAATTACCGTAATGGCTTTTTGCCAGCTCTGACAAATCAAATTTAGACTTTACTCATAAGATGTAAATTTTGGCTGAAAGAAATTGCAGGTTTAAAAATAGAAAACTAAAATCACTAATTCGTAGAGCTAGCTATGGTGAATATTACAGTTCTTGCTCTACAATTCAGGAGATAAATCCTTCCAGCTTGTAGTATCAGGAATTTTGAATTAACTTCCGCTTGTTGGATCACAACATTTATAGTCCAATAATTATATATTTATCATATATTATAAGTTTATTAAATTTGCTTCCTGAAAGCTGTTAATTTTATTTTACTGAGATTTCAATTAATGATTATGTGGTATAGCTAAACTCTATGTATTTTCTAACATCCTTGTATACCTTCAATGACTTTTCTCAGTAATTGCTGCTGCTCATAAAGTGTCTGAACGCTGTACAAAATTAAATGTGTTGTGTATACACTCTGTGTATACAAAATGAAAATAAAAGTTGCCAAAGTAAGTCTAAGTCTAATTGTTTACCAGTATAAATGATAAGCTGATGATTCTGTTATTGCAGCACAGTGTGTTTTCATTTCATCATCCAAAGTTTAACTGAAACTCTCTGTTGTATTTCGGGGGAATTACTTAGTTTAGATGTCCATCAACAAAATGGAAAAAGAGGAGGGTGAAGTTACAGAAAAGTATTTACTTGCTTTGATCTATTCTCACTTCAGTTAGATCAAGGATAAAAAATAAATACCTGTAAAACAACTAATAGAGTTTAATAGATTTAGGACATTCAGATACTTGGTTAAAGTAAAGGATAAAAAAAAAAAAAAACATTTCTGAGGAACATGCAATTTACTAGAATTGATTATAACCCTCCATACATACAGTAGCATCACATATAAGAACCTTGACTAGAATCTTAACTTGTGGTATTTTGCTTTAGATCAACTTTTTTTCCCCTTTTGGCTCTGTCTGATCTAATCAGTTTTCTTTTTTCAGTTCACCGGAGCCCAGTAAATAATAATAATCATCTTAAAAACAAGATTTTCTCAAGAGTGCAACTTATCCAAGGACTAGATGAACGTGCAAGATGCTGCATTTTTAAGAAATGATGAAAAACAAAAATGCCCTGTGAAGGACTGGCGACCTGTCCAGGGTATACCCCATCTCTCGCCCGTAGACAGCTGGAGATAGGCACCAGCACCCCCGCAACCCCGCTTGGGATAGGCATGACAGAAAATGGATGGAAAAAAAAAAAAATCTTTGATGAAACAAAGTTAAACATGGAATGAGCAAACTTAATACAATGGGTAAAGCTGGGTTTTAAGAAAAACAACTTGAGACACAAAATGCTGACATATTTAGCAGCTCCTTACTTTAAAAGTTTGGTCTGCCACTTTTGATGAAAACCCAGATTTTGACAGCCGGTAATTCTGAACGACCCTCCTCCAATGATCATAAAGCTAAAGTGAGACCTTCCACACAGAGCATTAATCTGGGGGGTTTTGCTGCCGGAGTAACTTAATGTTTAGCTTCCCTAGACAGAGAATTTTCTGCTTTAATCAACAAAACTTGCCCTGTGTGTGGTCGATCAAGTTTTGACCACAAACTACATTTTTTTCTCCCCTGATATCTAAAGTAATAACTGATCACTTAGAAAGGTGCTTAACCATGAGGCGTGCGTCGGTGACACAGTGGTTAACGCGCATGACCCATGTCCAGATTCCTTAGTCCTCAATGTGGCCAATCCTGATTTGAGAAAAAAAAACCCAACAAAACAAGCCAATAGTGCCTTAAAAAAGAAGAAGAAAGAAACAGCTGAACTACAAACAGACAAACAGGCACAATCATTCAATATTAGGCCTGATGAGCACTTGTACTGAAACACTGTGCCAACAATAACATCCTTTAGTATGGACACTGCTACTAGGTGAAGATGAATTAAATGATATTATTTCAACTCGACTCCTAATAATAATAATTAATTTAAGAGTAATTTTTTTATTTTTTTCTTAATTGAAGTTCTGACCACAGCTCAAAGTCTGATATTGTACTTTTTGTTTATCACAGCTTTACAAAGATGTTTGGAAAGGCCACACAAGTCTGATTAGTGCAACTCTACTGTTAACATCTTTTTCTGTTAAGTTTTGTCTTCAGTGGTTCTAATTAGTCAATATTACCCTGTTGGATATTTGAAATCATCCTGCTGTTAAGTCCTACTGTTTCCAAACTGCGAACCCCTTTTGTTAAAATTTCTTTAAATGTCTCATCTTTCTTACATGTTAATCAGTGGTAAGATCATAATTTGACAAGCAGTTTGAAGGTGAAAGTCAGAGAATGTCATTATAAAAACAGAAGCCCCAGAAGTCATCAGTGAAGTTCTTCCCTTTTTTCTGAAAGTGTTGTTTCCACTTTCATCCTTGTCTGATAACAAGCATGTTTCTTTATCCTGAGAGGTTCTGAATAACTTCATAAATTCAGGAGGGCTTAAATTGGAGCGCTCCAGTTAAGCCTAATTTGCATGCTTCTAACAGAGAATCAAGACTGCCTGGTTAAGGCTGTAGAGTATTAGGGCTGAATGCATCTTTTCCACAGCCAGTAGCAATTTGATATGAAGGTTTTTAAGACTCAGCCATGGGGGGAACTTCGGCCTGAGGGCAAAGACCCATTAACTCTTGTGTTCCAGTTTTAACAAAGAGAGGAAACACTTGGTTGGGAGCAATTACCTGAGGGTACAATTTTTAATGGCGAACTGCTGAGCGAATTATGTGATTCCATTAGTAGATTTTTGCTCAGGGTTTACCTTTGGTTACTGCTGCATATGCAGGCTCACTGCGTTTGTTTGCATGATCACATATAGGGCCTGCTATCTCTCCAAACTGTCTCTGCTGATTAGTATGTCAATCAGCAATCAAGAGTCTTTATTTTCATTAGGGCTTTAGCTCTAGCTCAGAATGCACATTTATTGGACATGGACATAATTTAAACACTCTCTAGAGGAATAAAAACGTGGTTGGTGTGTTTGGAAATTCTTTATGAAATCAGACATAAAAAATGAAAACTAAAACTAACATTTAGAATCAAGACTACATTCTTGA